CATTAAAAAACTCTGACATATTTTAAAAAAATGGCATAATATACAAATATAGTCGATCTATTTTGGGGGAAGACTTCAGTTCTTGATATATTTCGGCCCCTTGGCTGCGTATCAAAAAAGTTGCATTTTTGCAAAAAAAATCAAAAAATTCCTTTTCGTCCTATAAACTTTCTAAATAAAGAAATCCCTTTAAAAAAGTATCAATCAATTTGTGAAAAAGTGATTATTTTTTGGAATATCCATTATTTTTTACTTATACAAGGCCTGACCAAAAAGTAATGAAAATTTTTTATTTTTTGCAATTAGTTATTATTTACTCTTCAAAGGTTATTTTATTCTCTAAAAAGTAGTACCCTTTCGATATTATGCACTTATGCTAACATAGTTTCCAGTTTGAAAAAAGACCTTTATAAAAATAAATGGACTATTTCGTTGATTATTTACATTTATTGTGATAATTAAATAATCATTTAATCAAACATTAATTTCCTTACCAGATCCTAACTTATCTTTAAATATTAAATAATACCAATTGCCTTGTCTGTCAATTTGAGAATATACTTAAAATACTATTATTCATGGGAATGACCGCACGATACCTGGTTACGGTCACGGTAATATGTTTAGGAAACTACGTTATGCTAAAATCAAAAATCGCTTAAAAAACCAAAAACTGACTTATGGTAGACTGTTCAACATACCACAATAGAACCATAATAGAACGCTATATAAAACTGACGAAGACTGCTCAACATACCACAATAGAACGCTATATTTTGTGCAGAAACATCTATTAATTACAGACTTGAATAAAGAACTATTGTCAAAATTACTGATTTTACAAAGAATAAGAAAAAAACCTTGAATTGTAAACTGTTTTTCTGTCAATCGCGCTATTAAAACATCAGTTAATCGTCCTTATTAATTTATTTGTGAGATAGTGATGGATATTATTTTCTAGGGTTCAATTATGGCAATTATGGCAAAACCCCTCTTTACGCTTTGACTGGATTATTGTGTATCACTTCATCAGACTAAGCAATAATAGGCGTCAGAATTGCATATTTCCCCGAGCAGCCTGTAACCATTCTGAGATATGATAACGCGATGTTGGTAAGTCTGTCAGTTTTCGCAAATATGGTAATTTCAGGGCTCTATTCTTTATTTATTTTTTGATGGGATCAATCTTGAGGTCCCTGAGGATGTCATTCGTCCTAATGTACCATGGTACTTTGAAAAGTCTCCTCAGCGCCTGGCTTTGTGCAATTTCTATCTGGCGAATAGTAGTATTTGAAGCTTTCCTAAACGATACACATCCACATAGAAGTGACAGACAAATTATTTGGTTTTATATGTATTAGTTTCCTGTTCTTAGCATTGAGATTTTCATTTCTGAATAGCGGTTGGAGGTGATAAAGAGATTTGGCACAACTAATTCTTTTCAGTTGAACATGTTTAAACCATGTGAATCGTTTGTCCAACGATTAATATTAATATTAATCTTATTAATATTAATAATTTATGAGACATAAGGTTTCAAATAGAAATGAAAAGTCAATATTAAAAATTTTAGTTAATTTATTAAAATTTGGCTAACTAATTAAAATTATTGTTGTTGTCTTTTCATTTCCATTCGAACCCTGCTAAATTTTAAATAATTTATTTTCATCAGAAGCTGCATCACTTTCAGGGAAAAAAAATTAACATTAAATAATAATTTATTTTTGATTAAAATATTTTTTTTTATATATATTTAATTTTTAAAAATCACAAAGACTACACATTTCAATGCTGTCTTTTTTGCTTCTTCAATTACTCAAATCATCAAACAGCAACACTAATAGTGACCAGAATTTGCATACTTCTTGCCTCGTGTAGGTGGTTACTGTACAGATTTTATTCTTATATCACTCAAATTGGCTTCGTAGTGCACAACTCGTGCATTTATATGCAGAAATATAGTTTTATTTGTGCGTTCGAGCTAACCGTCAAACATGTCTTCCCCTATCAGCAGATGCAATTTGAGAGAGACATTTATGTAAATTTGCGTACTGCATGCTAAACACCCAAGCACAAAAAACCTGTCTAGTTAATCATACCACATAGCAAGTCAGATACAAATATGCAAATGCATCTCAAACATAAGGCGACCGCAGGCATGTAAGAACATGCCGTACATACGACAAGCAATGCACAATGGCACAATGGCACAACGTGTTGCATTTTCAGCATTTCGACTGCGACTGGGACTGCGACTGCGACTGGGACTGCGACTGCGACTTTTCTGGTACTCATTCACAAGATCTTTTTAATTAAAAGCAAATTTGAGGTACCTTATCAGTGCGTAATTTTCCATTCTACACTAATTGCTGCGAAATGCTATTTAACGAGCACAATTTTGCCAATACCGAAACACTCGAAACTCAACACAGTTAAAGCAATAGCCGCTTACTACAATGGCACTTCAATTGATGTATCTCAACTTCTTGCAACTTCGCTAGCTGAAGTATTTAAGTACGTTTGAGACTCTCAAGTATTAATCAATGCAATTTAAATTGATTGAATGAAGTGCCGAATAAAGTTGACTGCTTTCAAATGATGAAATAAAGTATTTAAAAGAGTTGGATTAAGTTATTCCTTTTTTGCTTCAAGTGATTGAATCAGAGTTCAATTATTCACATTTTTAAGTTTTCTGGAGTTATCTGGAGTTATCTGAAGTCTGGAACACTTTTTATATAATTTGAATGTAGGTATGCAGCTTATCCAGTATTTTCTTATTGAATATACATACATACAACGATAATAAATATTTATTACACAACACTGTCTTTATTCTTTTAAAACTTTAGTGAAACAATGAATTCACAAAACTCCAGGTTTGAATAACACAAGTCAAGTACAGCATAGGTTCAAGCACAGACTTAACGTAAGTCTGTGCTTCATATTTTGAAGCATTTGAAGAGTTTGAACTATTAATTGACAAAACTCCAGGTTTGAATAACACAAGTCAAGTACAGCATAGGTTCACGTGAGTCTGCGCTTCAAAATGGACAGGATTCAAGTTCATCACTTGATACTTACAGTTACTAAGTGCATGTTATATAAAAAAATTCAAATACTAAAGTTGATGAATGTTTCTCAAAATTCGGATAAATTATATAGTCACGTAAAAATATTAAATTAAATTTATATGAGAATTTGCAGTCATTATTATTGACCTGTTTTAAATTCACTTTTTATGTAAACCGAATTATCAGTTGAATCTCTATTAAACTGTCTTTAACACTACATTTTCGTTTAAACCGTGAAAATGAAGATTTTCCGCTATTGCGTTGCACTATTGAGTATAAATATTGAATATATATATATATTTATAATTAATGGTAGCACATTTCAGAACTTATTTATTGTTTTGTCTTACTCGTTCGTGCGTATGTTTTTTCGTGCGAACATGTTGTATGTTGCGCTTACATTAGTTGCGAATTGATATTTCTGCTTTGTTTGTTTTGAAAATGATATTGAATTAAACAAAAACCGTTATTAAATTATTTAATATTGTTAAATAAGAAACAATGAATTTGGTGGATGATTTTATCAATATATAAAAATGTAGAGGTCGTTTGTTCCTTAACAAAAGAAATTAGCAAATCATAATACATTTCCTAAAAGCATGTGTATGCTATCAAATATATTTCCATTTTTTAAATTAAAATTATAGTTTTTTATGGAATAAATAAATATAAGAAGTAATTCCAAGAACACTGATGATGAGTATTTGGCAATAGTCGAAATAGCTGTATGGTCAACCAAAAATTCAATTAATTAATATAATATCACTATATAATAATATAATATCACAATTAATTAATTTGTTGTTGTTCACTCTACGTTTCAAAACCTCTCCACTAAAGACAATAGTTTCTATTAAGTAAAATAGAAACATTAAATTACAACTAAAATAAAATTCATATTAAATTAAAATAACAGACACCTCCAAATTTCACTATTTCCACCTTCGGTTTCGCACGAACGAAGGAATTTTAAACCAAATGGAATAAAATATAATAAAATAGAATAAAATAGAATAAAATAGAATAAAATAGAATTGAATAGAATAGAATAGAGTTTCATATGTTCGCATGAGAAAGACAACACGTTATGGGAATAATTCGCAGCAACTGTAACCACTCACGTATAATTACGTACATCTAATTTGTTCGTACGAACAGAAAACATTCGCATGCAATGTAACCGCAACCTACAGCATCCATAATATTAAGAATGAAAATTGTTAGAAGGATAACTACAATAATAACAACTTTTTATTGGTGCTTTTTTCTCATCAATTTTTGAAATAATTATTATATTCGGTTCCTGCTAAAAACAAATTGTGGAAGTTTTTTTTAATAGCATTTTTTATATTATATTGTGAGTTTTTGATATTTTTTAAGAAGAAAGTTTTTCGTTAAGTTTATGTCATTAATATACCGTGGCTTAGTCAAGATTGTGCCAAAGGTGGGTTATTCTAAAAAAAGTTTTTTTAGGTGGTGTTTTTACTCTACATATTATTTGTAAGTTATATGGTCAAGTTAGAGTATATGGTCCATAATCCTTTTTTTATTGACGTTAAGAGAAATATTTTATTGCATGATTAAAATGCGATATTGACATAATGCAATACAAACTGCGCTCGAAAGTAATGAATGCCACTGAGGTACTATTCAATTTCCTTATGAGAAAATACATTATTTTCATATTCCTTTCATTGCCATTGTATGCTTCTTTATGGTATAATAGCGTTTAATATGTTTCTATATATTTCTATCATTAATGTAGATAAAGTAGTTAAATAGATAAAGCAAGTTTGTAGATAAAGTAGTTTAGTAGGGTAGATAAAGCAATGAAAAAGAAGGTGAAGATTAAAGAAGAAAAAATAAAAAAAAGCGGGAGATATTTTAAGATTTTTCGAATTATTCAGTTTTTCGAGTTTTGCACGAGAAGGTTATAAGACGAAAAAACAGTAATAAATAAAAAATAATTAAAATAATTAATAAAAATTCGCAAGATCATGCCCAAATTGGCAGGAAAAAAAGAACTGAAAAGAGTTCGGTACAAAAGGCGTACATCGACAAATCAGTATATGATGTACATAAACTTAATGGAAAAAGATCAGATATTTGCCACACAGCGCGTGCCCCGTGAGTTAGATAAAAGTTATTTAACCAATAAATGGAAGGAACTGGCATTAGAACTAAATCAATGCCAAAATGGACCTACTTTGACGGCAGAAGAGTGGCGTAAGCGCCTTAGCAATTGGAGAAATGCAACGCGCTATAAATATAGACGTAGTGTGTCTGGTGAAAAGAATATATTTCTTACAGCAATAGAATTGCAAGCATTAAATTTATTTGATAAAACACTATTGATACCAACAATGCCGGAACAAATGTCATCACAATTAAAATGTGCAAAAGATGCTGAAGATGAAACAAAACGTACAGCGGAAATGTTCACATTGGAAGAATTACAGGCGGCTTTTGATGAGCTAATAGGTAGTGACAACGATGATCAGTACGATGATAACGAAGAAATTTTACCAGATGAGTCGGAAACAAAAGTAGAACAATCTAATACGGACAATGGTTTACTAACACCTTATCGAACGACTGTTGTTGAGAACACGCCACATACTAACGAGAATCCAAACGAAGAGAATCAATTAGAGTTCATCACACATCGCAAGCAAATAATTGAATCGACTATTAATAGCGCCGTACCAGAAATTGCACACACTGCTCCTGCAACTACAGAGATAATATTAATAAATGGCGATGTACAATTTCAGAGACTACTGTCACATGCACCGGAACAAATAAAATACGAGGTTAAAGAAGCGCCTATAAATCAACATGATACTCAAGGCATTTCGACTATACATAGTCACCAAACACATACACAAGAACAGATCGAACATATACAGGAGGGTGCTCCCATTGCTGACACTATCACCATCACATCACAGGATGCAGGTGAGCTAATACTACAGGTGAAACGTATTGCAAACATCAAATACGAGAAATTAAAATTCGAAATAGAAAAATTTAAATTCAAGAATCCAGAATTTCAATACAACATCCCAGAATTATAGAATCACACATCAGAATTACTGAAAAAACAAGTAGAATTTAAATTAAATAATTTTTTTGATTATCTAAACTAAGTTTAGTTTAAGTAATAATTCGTGTGGATTATAGTTTATTTACGCATTATTTTTATCATAATTTTTATCATAATTTCATCATAATCATTTATTTATCATAATAGTTTATAGAGTTTAACTAAATTATTCACTTATTATTCATAATATTGTAGTAAAAAATATTTGTTTTAATCTTGATTTGTTAAAAATTGAAGCGGAACATTTGATTTAAGTATTAATCCATTATAAGGACTTTTAAAAAAATTCAGCCTACCTTTTTGGTATAAAAGTAAATTTAATAGACAGTCTAGTAAAATACACTGAAGATTCGGGGAAATATTAAAAATCAAATTAACAATTCGAAAAGAAGACGCTTTTTTGCACTAGAATAAGAATAACACAATCGAGAGCGACACGGCGTGCGGTGGAAGTTCAGATATGTCAAGCGAGCCAGTGCAAAACAG